GCCAATACTCCAATAATACGTTTCAAAAAAGGCAAAAAAGCTTTAGTTTTGCTGAGTTAAATTCTCAAACATGTAAGGCACTAATAAGATGAACGTATCACGAAATTTGAATAAACCACATCGCATATATGGGGGCGAATATCCTAAAGGGGGTCGATATTCCTATGGTTGGGGAGGGGGGCGAATCTCCTTGAGGGGGGAAGTCCTATGACAACGGCATGGGCAAATAGCACTACCTATTTAACAATTCTATCTTGTCCCCCCCCCAAAAAAAAAATATGAGTTTGCCCCTCAAATCCCCCCAACCCCATTTTCAATTTCATGTGAATCCTTTCACATGTGAAATTTCATTGTAATTTTTAATTTCATGTGAAACCTTTCACATGTGAAATTTCATTGTAATTTTTAATTTCATGTGAAACCTTTCACATGTGAAATTTCATTGTAATTTTTAATTTCATGTGAAACCTTTCACATGTGAAATTTCAGTCGTAATTTCATGTGAAATCCTTTCACGTACATGCGAAATTTCACTTTGTAATTTGTAATGTTATGTGAAATCCTTATCTTTTCACATGTGAAATTTCACTTGTAATTTTCTCATGTGAAATCTTTTCACATATGTGAAATTTCACTTGTACATGTAATTTGTAATTTCATGAGAAATCCTTTCACATGTGAAATTTCAGTCTAAATTTCATGTGAAATCCTTTCACGTACGTACATGTGAAATTTCACTTTGTAATTTGTAATTCATGTGAAATTGTCATCTTTTCACATGTGAAATTTCAGTCGTAATTTCATGTGAAATCCTGTCACATACATGTGAAATTTCACTTTGTAATTTGTAATTCATGTGAAATCCTTATCTTTTCACATGTGAAATTTCACTTGTAATTTAATGTGAAATCCTTTCACGTACATGTGAAATTTCACTTTGTAATTTGTAATTCATGTGAAATCGTCATCTTTTCACATGTGAAATTTCAGTCGTAATTTCATGTGAAATCCTGTCACGTACATGTGAAATTTCACTTTGTAATTTGTAATTCATGTGAAATCCTTATCTTTTCACATGTGAAATTTCACTTGTAATTTCATGTGAAATCCTTTCACGTACATGTGAAATTTCACTTTGTCAGTTTGTAACGTTGATGTGAAATTCTTTCACATGTGAAATTTCACTTGTGATTTCATGTGAAATCTTTTCACATGTGAAATGTCACATGCGATTTCATGTGAAATTCTTTCACATGTGAAATGTCACATGTAATTTCATGTGAAATACTTTCACATGTGAAATGTCACATGTGATTTCATGTGAAATCATTTCACATGTGAAATGTCACATGTGATTTCATGTGAAATCTTTTCACATGTGAAATGTCACATGTGATTTCATGTGAAATCTTTTCACATGTGAAATGTCACTTGTGATTTCATGTGAAATCCTTTCATTTGTGAAATTTCACATGTGATTTCATGTGAAATTTTTTCACATGTTAAATTTCACATAAGATCACATAATTTCACATGTTATCACATGATTTCACATGAAATCACACGCTTGAATTCATGTGGATTTTTTGTAAGGGTTTAACCTTTTTATTGTCTTGTTGAGTGGAAAAGCATATTTTGCATAAAAAATACAGGATTTTTATCATGTCGTTTTAGCGATTTGTCACCCATGCTTGGACTAAAGTAACAAACACTGCTGATCTCTAATCTAGTTTGCAACACTGGAATGCTTGGGGTTTTTAAATAAGCATCGAGCAAAAAAACAAACGTTACTTACCGTTAAAGTCAGACTGTACTGGACAACTATTTCCTCTCTGTCTCAAAAGCGCCTTTCGACCATCGGTCTCGGGTCGCTTCTCAGACCTCGAGAAAGTGTATTTTTTAGGACGGACATCCCAGGTGCTACGATATTATCTTTTGCGTTGCGCAACACATCTTCGATCTGTTTTTTCGCCCACCAAAGAAACGATAATTATTATGTGTTTTTGTAGAACCGAATTTTTGGTATAGGTATACGATGGTTTCGAATAAAATTTGAATAAAAAATGCACGAGTAAGTTTTTCAAAATCAAAATGGCACGAGTCCGAAGAATGAGTGGTACTTGAGGCCTTTGAAAAACTCACAAATGCTTGTTTTATCCAAGATTCACGAGAAAACATCTTATTATACGTTTTAATAATATACATTAAAATTTTGGGACAATTCTTGTTTTAATTTACGTTCATATCGAACTATACTTCCGCAATTTGCCCGCGTTTGGATGTATTATGACAACGTTTTCCATGCTTTGTTATTTCACATTATACAGCACTAAAGGTTTAGAAATTCCTCTCAACTATAAGAAGTTTTGTTAGTCTTGTTTCAGGAAAAGCCTTTTCGATTTTAAAAAAGAGTCAACTTTTGCTTTATGTAGCGCTATGGCGCAATGTTTGTTTTGTAACTTTTGTTTTGAAGCAATCTGTTACCGTTACTTGAGGACTGCTTTAATTAGTTGATTTTGATTGTTTTTCCACCAATCATATCAGTTTGTTACAGATTTTTCACTGTGATTACTGAATATTGCTCCGTTGTTACAGAAAATTGCACTTTGATTACAAAAAATTTGCACTATTTGCACAAATTTTGAAATGCTGTTTGATATTAACTGCACACAAAGCAATAAATCACAGTCGAGTAATATTTTTATTTCTATTGTTAGGATAATAAATAAGGAGGCTTATGACGCTCACAATGGGTTCATTTTCAAAGAGCTTAATTAAAATATTAACTTTCCATTTGTTTCATTTAGGTAAATTTGTGTATTTTTACCATAAATCAAATGTTACCACTTAATTTTCAACTCTTTTTATCATTAATGACGTTCATGCGTATGATACGCAAAACTCGATAGTAGAAATAATATCAAATAGTGTTCTGTCAATTCCAATTGTTAGTAACATTTTCAATTTACTCATTCATGTCTATTTTAGCCAATGATTAAAAGAATAACTATTAAACTTATAGTTTTTCTATCTTTGTTTTTTCGATCCTCCATTTTACTTTGTCTTAGTTAATTGTGTGTATTTAAAAGTACTTGAATATTTTATTTAATTAATCTGCTTCTCCTAGCTGTTTTATCAGAATGCGAATAGGTAGCCTAAAATTCACAAGTTAATTGGCTTCTTTATCATATGATCATCGCCATTGACCAATCACGGGTCTTTAATAGCGCCACGTGCATGCCCGATATATTGCGATGTCGGACAGTTAATATTGGACAGTAGCTTATCGTCGTAATTTTCCTGGCTTATCAAACTTTTTCAGATGTTTTGACAGGTAAATTTGAAACATACAACAAACAAATTCGCAAAGTAATGAAAATAATTCGTGATATTATGACTGTTTTTCGACCAGTCTTGTTTAAAATTGTAAAACGCGGAAAACTTGTCTTCGCGAAATTCATTTGTTTACAACATTCGCGAGGTTAATAATATATCATTTTCCCTTAAATTATTTCAAATTACCTTTAACATAGATGGAATTGAGTTTATTTATGCAAGCTTGTTTTTAAAAATAAAAGTTTATAACTTTTATTTTATTCGCCGCCGATGTGTGATAATGTTATTGCTGTAGTATTATCGCTTATACCATATTGGGCGAAGATGAATCTAACAGGTGTTTTATTATATCGAACAAAACAATTCTATAACAAAAAGTTGTCTATATACTAAAAGTTGTTAAAATATTTAGTTTCGACTTCAAGACTTTGCCATATTTGCCATATTAAGATATAATATTGGGTTTCCATGTCGGTCTATATATTTATATATTTAGTTTTTCGTTTTACTTCAAGAAACCACAACAGTCTGTTTCATCCGTATAGGAATCATCAAGTGGTCTTATGATTCCTATACGGATGAAACAGACTGTTGTGGTTTTTGAGGTAAAACGAAAAAATATTACGCTCTATCTGTATGGTATTGAGCACTGTTTGTGTTTCGTAAACCAAAAACTTAAGCTATTTATATATTTGTATATTTATATTATTAGCTGAATTCATATTAGAAGACGGATTTCCGTCTAAGACGGGAAACTCATGTGACGGATTTCCGTCTGGTATAAGTATGAAACGAAAACCATCGGACGGATAAACCCGAAAAAATAGGAGACCCTCCATCCCAGTCTCTTTTAAACGTTACGAGCAGAAACCCGTCTTGATTTATTCGTATGATATAAATTTAAGACGGATTTAAGACGGATTTCCGTCGTTCAGACGGGAAAGTTAGACGGAAAAGTTGAGACGGAAAACCCGTCGTTAACCGAATTTATATCAAAACGAGATTCTCGTCTGAGAAGAGTTTCTCGTCTGAGACGAGTTTCCCGCCTTAGACGGAAATCCATCTTCTAATATGCATTCGGTTATTGATACTATGTGATTTGTGGCTAACTAAATTTACTTGACTTGATAGGACAATAATAGATATAGGCTATTGTCGCACGTTTCTGTCTTTACTTTCTACAAATTTTGCAGGCGGGATATAATTATGTGGATATAGAAAATATTTCCTATTTTCGAGTTAAGATACGAACAATTTGAGCAAGATTTACAATATGTCCGCGTGAAAACCGACCGGGTAAACGTTTAGTAGACAATCCTCTATAATAAAGTTAGTTAGAATGAAGGTTAAACAGCATAAAAATTGGACGCTGATTGCATTGCCAACCTTTATACTAAAATAGAAAGTGGCTTTCATCACCTCAGTTTAGTTGAGCCAGAAATACCAGGCGGGGAAAGATAAATTGACCAAGATGACTTTCGCTTTTTTAAGATTGCGCTCCTCGCGCTTGAATTAGATATTTGATAACAATATGGATACCGGTCTTCCTCTGAAGACACTCCCTCCAATAACCATACCGTGTTTGGCAGCAACATTTGTTAGAGAATTCCAACTATAGTTATAATATAATTATTTTTTTTGTGCGTTCCTTTCTATATAAATTTATGACTATTTTTTTGTCAGATATCTCGCGATTGAAGAAAGATATTATATCTGAATCAAACGTTCTGGGTTGGTTAGATTGTGGAACCAGTTGCTTGGAAAAACGGGCCTGTGTTGCTTTCAATTTCAAGGAAAAGGCAAAAGAGAACGAAATCAACTGCCAATTAACTCACAATGCTGATCTTAAATTTGAAAGAGCAAGCGGAGAAGACAGTGGCTGGACATTTTATGAGACAGCTGGAGAAAGAATGGTTAGAATATATACTATAAATATGGATATAAGTCTTTAGTAAATATTTATAACTAGATAAAATACGCCTACAGTAATATCCCGTATATTAAATACTGTAGTTTTTATCTCAATACTACCAAGTATGAACATCCTTATATTGGTTGCTCATTTTTTGGCCAGCAACTGAACTGGTTTGAACTAATTATTAACACGTACTATATTCAAAAAAAAATTTGTCAGTGAAAACGTTTTTATTCTATTTGAGAAACCTTTTCCACTAGCTTATTACTTAAATTATACATTATGATTGTATGACTCATCGTTAATTCATGAGAATTTTTCAAGAGAAATCAATCTTTAATGAGGTGTTGTATCCAAATGTGAATTCTCCTAATTTACTAAAATTTATCGCTCGCTTATTTTGTTCAATTATTTTTAATGATTTATTTAAACACAAATTCTTACGTTTGACAAGCTATATAAAGTATTCAAGTCCTTGGTGTATCAGAAATACAACCCCTAACCTTAGACATGAGTTTATACATTTGATCCAACCCGACCGCTAACGCTATTATATATTACTTATTTCAGTTCGGATGTGACGAAGAATATGAATGTCTGGATGGTGAAAAGATGATCTGGGATTCAAAGAAACCACTTGAATGTAAATGTCGGAAAAGCAGTTACATGGGGCACCTTTGTGAAAAGTGTAAGTAAAATATAAAATATGATCGGATATTTTACATAAGAAAAGTAGTATCCAGGATGATGATGATTAGCAACTCTATTTAAACACATGCACTAAATAATTCTAATTTTCTACATGCAGCTGGTTTGAAGTTTGGGAGTTCGCGGTAACCAGGCATAACATCAGTCATGCTTTCGCTCGCTATTCTGATTTTATTAAATTAATGTAAAGCCCAGTTGAATTGCATTCACCACCCAAGCTTTCGACACTCCACTCTATTGTCTTAAACAGGGGTGGTCTGAAGTCGCAACGTTACTCTTTATTTACCCACGGGATGACGTCATCTGCCAACAAGTTGGAAATATCTTTGTGGCAAATAAGAACGGTCTTCCCAATTCACGATTACTGATATTAATATATCACTCTTCTGGCCAACGCCCATGGCGATTATTAGCGATAATGACTCCAGAGTTTTGGTGTCCCACGCATGTTCTGCTAAGACAGATTTCCTCTTATTTAATTAGTACTTTTAAACGTGGTCTAAACTGTACTTTTAAACGTGTTCTAAACTGGCGTTTAGAGAATATACAACGTCATTTTTCTGATCTCTTTGAACAGGTTTTTTCGGCTTTGTGAAAATATGGCCTAAAGTCAAATAAGGTTTTAAGGCAACCTTTTGCATTACAATTACTTAAGTTTCTCTTGAATGGTTCTGTAACTGCCAGAAAGTCAACAGACCACAAGACATAGGGAATTGTCACTTTAAGTAATTTAGAGAACAACTTTACCATTTACGGTCAATTGACAAGCAAAATCCAGGTAGGCGGTCGAGTGCACTTTACGCCGAGTTGATGAGAACTTGAAAATCAATCAGTGTTTCAGCTAGAGGAATTGATTATTAAAAGACCCACATGTTCCATTCCTGCCAGGTGGCCTATAGATGCATTCTTTGCAACTACTCATGTTTAGGTATAACAAATGTAAAAGATCACATTCGAAATTGCCATCTACAAATTCCCCCTATAGAATCAATTAAGTCGAATGTACTGTAGATGCCCAAAAGCCTGATATTTAATTAATATATTAAAGAACCTTGTTCTCCAATTACTGATACGCTCACACACCAACGGATTGGTCGTTACTGATCGTCCTGAGATGATAGCAAGGTGTTATTCATATTGGAAAAAGTGATATGATATTAATTTAATCCGCAGTAAAAAAAAATCTAGTACACGTAAGCAACAAAAGCTAAATACCCGTCCGTTTGAATATCATAACTCACAGCTTTTAAAAAAGATTTATCTAAAGTCTTTCAAATTCAGCGGCAAGATTCTGACCCAATTATGCTTTGGGAAAAATGGAAAAAAATGTCCTGAACATCTCCTTGATGGACGTTGGAAGTTAAATATTGATGGAACTTTCAGAAAAAGTTAATAATTATTGAGGAAAACTCGTAGAAAATTCATATAAGAGTGTCGTATTATATTTTTTCGAGATTTCCATTGATCTACTAGTCTCCTACGCATACCTACTTAGCGGGCTGAGCCCTCACGTAAGGTATGCTTACTTTGGCCAAGAATTCCTTTCCTCAAAATTAGCCAATCACAGCTTTACCCACGAAAATTGTGGGGCTTGACCATTGACTATACCTTTGACCTTGAGGCTTGGGTCGTCAAAAGTTTCAAAACATTTAATCTTGAACATTTCATATCTTCATTTGTACGTATATTCATATCTTAAACCGATTATATGCGAGAGCTGAGAGATATATTTGTTATACATATACCAGTCTACAAATTTACAATATGGAACAATTGTAAAATCTGTTAGAATTTGTCGAGCTATTGTTTTGAACAGACAGTGTAGTAAAATCGAACAATATCACCTAAAATATTTCGCGATGTTTTGATTACTTTACAAGCGTTTGCAGGTGTTACTGTAACACGGGTAATATACTGGACAAAGACGTCAAGACAAAGTTATAAAGTTACAGTGTACATTACTGCGGGTGTAGATAATAGATTTATAAGTACTAATTGAAGACTACAGAATTCTCGACAGAATTCAGCCTATATAAAATACTGAATTGATTCATTGCATATTTCGGTTTCTAAGTTTGTATATGACTAGCCAGTTTATAAAGTTTAATAAAATCGTAATTACAAAAGTCGCTCTGATATTGAACGTTCGGAAACTTTAGTACCACTATAGTTACAACATGAGCGGCCTAGTTGTATCGGATATACAAACTCGAGCCGAAAACGACTCATCTTATGAGTTCATTGGCGAAGTAATTTTAAAAATAAACGTTGTTTAAGCCGAGAAAATCAAAGTTAAAGTTAACGTAGATCAATATGAATCTGTTCAATATTTTCTACTTCGACTGCTATTGATCAGAAAACTCGATCTGTTCACACTTATATGGCCATTTAAATACGTATATATATATATATATATATATATATATATATATATATATATATATATATATATATATATATATATATATATATATATATACTCGTCTTGTCATACGAAACAAATTTGTAGTGAAATAAAGTTCATATGAAGTAATTCAAGTATGTCTTCTATATTACATACATATATATATATATATATATATATATATATATATATATATATATATATATATATATATATATATATATATATATATATATATATATATATTATATACACAAGGTCTGGATATGAGGTATTCTGCAATCTGATTGGTTCTCTACTAGCAGGATATTAGCTCATATCCTGCTAGTAGAGAAAAACAAAATGGCGGCTCAAACTGAATTTCCGATTTTGTTCGCTTTTTATAGCCTTTACAGGATTAAAAACACAATGAAAAAAACTCGCACAAATTGTTTACAGGTTAGCAAATGAATTTTTAAAATTTAAAATGATTAAAAATATATATTTTCGAAGAAATAATCGGCCGAAAGAGCGAAGATAAAAACATAAACAAAATAGAAAAATATTGAAAATATCCGAAAAGCAAAGTCGGTGAATTCAGACCTTGTGTATATAATAAAACAATTATTCCACTCACTCTCGTCGAATATGAGCGATAGCCGATTCGGCGCTACGCGCCTCATCGGCTATCAGCTTATATTCGATTCGAGTTCGTAGAATAACTGTTAAATATATATATATATATATATATATATATATATATATATATATATATATATATATATATATATATATATATATATATATATATATATATATACATATATTATATACAAAATAAAAGCCACGACCAAAAGAAATCAGAATATATAATTCAAAAATTTTTAAATTTTCGACTGCATGTAACACCCTTCGTCAGAAACTAAGTACAAACTAAATCAAATAAGTCTCTTATACAGTGGCGTGCTGGGTACTAATTTTCTGGGGGGGCCAGTTGGCTTTCAACTAATATGCGCCCCTATATTGTAATGCTTGATAAACGAGTGTCGAAGGCACGAGCCGAGCGCCGCAGGTGCGAGGTTTCTCTAGGGGGGTCCGGGGGCATGCCCCCTCGGAAAATTTTTGAATTTAGGGTCTCTGAAATGCCATTTCCTGGACTTTGGGGGGAAGGTTTGACAGAAATCTGATGGTCAGGAAACGGCATTATAACGTGTTGAAATTTGCAATTTGGTTAGAATTATATATAGTAGTAGTTCTTAAATTGGGCAATGCTAACTCAGTTCCAGCGATTAATCTAATCCCAATTCTATTCTCTACTGATCTGGTGATCTGAATACATTTACAACATACAGCTCTTTTATACAATAACACACGGACCCCACGTATATGCACTTTAAGGTTACCTTGCTTGGCTGCCAAAAGGGTGCTTTTCAGCATTATCTTATCACTTACATTACTCATGAGTCATGATGTTTCTTGCACAAACAACTAAATTGCGTATACAACTTACATTATCATAACTATCTAATTTGCGCCGCTCTCGTGATTCGTGAAGCATAATACCTTCATAATATAAGGGCATAATACCAGCAAAAAAGGGCATAATTCCCGTGATCGCTTCGAAACCTGACCAATATTCCGGTAATGAGACATTGTGTGTGATCACTGATCATGTTTCTATATGAACGATTTTGTGTGAGCTGTGAAGTAGCAAATTAGCAAATAAGGTTAGACCAAATAGTCTGTAATTTAATATATCACTTTGTCGTCTATGCGCTTAGTC